TCCTTAATGTGCTGTGCATTGAGATTTAATGCTATAACGAGTACTCAAACAATATTATTTCACTTTGTGTTTCTATGGGGGGTGCAAACTGTTGAAATCTTTACTTAATGCATACTAAACTGATCTTCTGTAAAAAAAAAAGAAATTATCAATTCCCAACTTGACTCTCACTGGGATTAAACATGACAATAGGTCTGATCTGATTTCATCATCATTTAAAAAATCATCTATTATTTTTCACTTTATGTTTCTGTGTGGGAGCAAACTGTTGAAATCCTTACTTAATGTATACTAAGCTGATCTTCTGTATATTAAGATAATCGAAAATGAATCTTGATGTGAATGGAAGGGGAGAGGGAGTGGGAAAGGGGAGGGTTGTGGATGGGAGGGATGGTATGGGGCGGAAGCCATTGTAATCCATAAATCGTACTTTGGAAATTTATATTCATTAAATAAAAGTTAAAAAAAAGAAAAAAAAAGAATAACTGTGTATTAATTACAGAATTAAACCAGTAATATTAAGTAGAACAGACAAAAAAATACTAAGAGGGATAACATATTAAGTTGTTCATTAACAGTCAGGGCTATGCTGATCAAGTCACTGTTTCTCATAGTGTTCATTTTACTTTAACTGGTTTCCTTTTTGGTGTTCAATAAGTTGTCACCGATCAGGGAGAACATATATTTGTCCCTTTGGGACTGGCTTATTTCACTCAGCATAATGTTTTCCAAATTCCTAACAGGGATCACTTTTCACTTAAAATTTAAACACCCAAGAATAATTGTGTGTTAATTACAGAGTTCAACCAATAGTACTAGAACAAAAAAAATACTAAAATGTATAAAGTATTACATTGTACATCAACCGTCAGGACAAGAGCTGATCAAGTTACTGTTTCTCATAGTGTCCATTTCACTTCAACAGGTTTCCCCTTTGGTGCTCAGTTAGTTGTCACTGATCAGGGAAAACATAAGATATTTGTCCATTTGGGACTGGCTTAGTTCAATCAGCATGATGTTTTCTAGATTCCTCCATCTGCAACAAAGAATTTTCAGAAGCAGATCATGTAAACTGCTTTCAAATATGACAGAGAAAAAAACTTAAACAAGAGGGTAGGCATTTAGACTAGTGTTTTTAATGCCAGTTAAGATCCCCTAATCCTAATTCAGAGTGTAAATTTGATTGCCAACATGGACTCCTGTTTCCACCTTTTTGCTAATGCAGGTGCTGTGAGACAGTAGCTATGATGACTCCAGTAATTGAGCTTCTGACACCAATGTGTATTCCTGCCCCTTGGCTTCAGCATTAGCTCAGCCATGTGTAATCTGGGCATTTTGGGATTGAGACGGTAAGATTTCTGTCTCTGTTGTCTCTTAGACTACATCGCTTTTTGTGGTTCTCAAGTATATAAATACATTTTCCATAAGGCAAAAGATTTAAGTAAAGCAAAGAGTGGGGAATATTCTTTGGCTTTAACTGTATGTTTTGGGTATTTGAAGGATTCAATCAAGACTATTTTGAGTAGGTTAAAGTACAAATGAATAATGGAATGATTTCCCTGAATAGATAACTTACAAGTCTTTAGTACAATCTGCATCTACAAACAGGCTGAGAGAAATGTACACAGTTATTAAAGAGCCTGTAGCAGATTCTGGACTCCATACATTCCTGGTTGAATTTGTGAATCCAGTACAACCTCCCAAAAGAAAATGAGGGTAACACTATTTAGCAATTCCAAAAATCACATATTAACTTTTTTTAACTAATAGGTGGCAATTTCCAATGAATAATGCTGAGTATTTATTTCCAGATTGGTACTAAATCACTGTCCACTGTATAATCTATAGGATCAATAAAGATTATTTCAAACTTTATATTCTACAAGAATTTAGCAAATTCTGTTCTAAGTTCCAATTTGAATGATGTAACAAATGTGTCCTTTTGTTATGGAATCAGAAAAACAAGAGATCAATCTACAAATAGCTTAGATGACTCTAGTGACTTATAAACATAATAGCTTAAGCTTATTTATACATATTATCTGATGATGAACTTCATTTATATTTAATTTTCCAATCTAATTATCACATCCTCATAAAGCTCCTGAAATACAACATAAAACAAACAGGAATAAATCAATAAAGAACTTACTGGAGGCGTCTTCATTTCCTTTGGTCTTGGAAACATGCAGAGGTTTCCAGATTATTCTGGAAAAGATAGTGGATGGAGGGAATTGTGAGAGAACTGGTCTGGCTTGGTCCTCCATTCTGCTGTGATAAGCAAGATGACAGCAAGGAATAGAGATTACGAGTCACCTTCGCTGGAGAAACAAACCAACAATCCTCCCTGTGTAGTTATAGTGCTTTACATATGAGAAGGGGTACACAAGAGCTCTCTGAAAGAATTACACTAACTGGCAATGATTGAGCACAAGTTATCATCTGGCTAATGAAAACTTTTTATTTTGCTATGTTATTTTGTAAAATTTTTTAAAAGATGATTTATTTATTTGAAAGGCAGAGTTATAGAGAGAAAGGGAAAGACGAGATTCCCACAATGGTTGGGATCTAATCTGGGCCTCATCTTGAATGCTGGCATTACAAAGCTACAGCTTAATCTTCTGTGCCACACTGCCAGCCCCAATTTTGGAAAAAAAATTAATGTTCCTGACAAGAAATAATTTATACCTTTAAGGATGAATGTTCAAATAATTTTCATTATACAACAGAAAGAAATATAATGCTACCATTAATATCTACACTAAAGATAAACATGAGTGGTATTAACTATTTCCTATTGATACAGATGTACCACACAGGACTCTGTATTAATATTTCCATTGGGATGGGAGAGGGAGTAGGAGATGGGATGGTTTGTTGGGTGGGAGGTTGGTTATGGGGGGAAAAACCGCTATAATCCAAAAGTTGTACTTTTGCAATTTATATTTATCAAATAAAAGTTTTCTAAAAAAAATTCCATTGGAACCTCTCTTGCTGTTATATACCTAAAAATCCATAAAACATATGCAACTTACAACTTGAACTTTTCTGCCCACAAATATACTGGAAAATGGATATAATATACATTCATTGTGGTACAACTTTCTAGTAATTGCTCAAAATAATATTCTGTATCAAAGCCTTCACAGAATACTTCAACACAATAATCCTTGACTTTGCCATTTCACTTCCTTTAGCCCATGGGACATCAGCAAATATGATACCTACAAACTTGTACCTGCTGGAATTTTCCTGGTCAGTTATCTTGTGAAGAAGGCTGGGACTTGCTTGATGGAGACACAGGGACTAGGCAAGAGCAAGAGCAAACCACCAAACATAGAGGGGATAGATATTGTGGTGCAGCATGTTAAGCTGATCTTGGGACACCCCACATCACATATCAGAGTCTGGTTCGTGGCCTGGATGTTCCACACTTCCAATGCAACTCCTGATAATGTGCCTGGGAGGCAGAGGATGATGGGTAAGCTAGGTTCCTGCCATCCCCATGAGAGACTGAGATGGAACTATCAGGATACAGGGAGCATCAGCATTATCTCCTGATATCAAAGTGTGATGACAGACTAGGTTTCAGAGAGTTCCAACTCTGGAAATAATGAGGGCAGAATAAAGTAATCCGAGTGTGTCAGGGAGTGATAGAGACAAATTCTCAGATATGACAGGTTATTCCCCCACTGAAGGCCACACCTTCAGGATCCTTCCAAAGAGCAACATTTCCTAGGCCCTCGCCTATCTTTCTCAACTCACTCATGTCTTCCTTCTCAAAGTTCATGTAAAACTTGTAATGTCACCCTGTTTTTGGTACCATAGAGATGAACTAAGATAGCATAACTGAAATTTTTTTTCAAAGTTTATTTATTGATTTGAGAGGTAGAGTTACGGGGCGGGGGAGAGAAAGAGAGAGAGAGAGAAAGGTCTTCCATCTGCTGGTTCACTCCCCAAAAAGCCACAATGGCAGGAGCTGGGCTGATCCAGAGCCAGGAGCTTCTTCTGGATCTCCCATGTGGGTGTGGGGGCCCAAAAACTTGGGCCATCTTCTACTGCTTTCCCAGGCCACAGCAGAGAACTGGATCAGAAGTGGAACAGCTGGGACTCAAACTGGTGCCCATATGGCATGCCAGCATCACAGGCAGAGGTTTAACCAACTACACCACAATTGCAGCCTGAGTAACTACATCTTGATCTTGTGGGGCAAAAGAGTCGACAACAGCTTGGGCCTACACCTTGTAGGACTTCTTTGCCTCTATTGTAAAGCTCTAGGGAGAGGGTTTTGGTCAGAAAGGTATTCTTTCACATGGATTCCAACTGATGAAATCCCCTCCTTCATTTAGCATAACTATATTAGAAAGGGCAGGATCATCATCCAGAACCCTAATTTCCATCATAGAACCCACTGGCCTTGGAATCTAGATTTTGTATAAACTTCTATAAACTTAGAGAAGGGGACTCGGCAGTCTACACAACAGAGAAATGGACCATAATTTTCACTTGTTGATGAGACACCATCAATCAATCAATCAATAAATGCCAAAAACTCACAAATGCAACTGCCCCATAGTACTAGAATTCATGCACAATTTACAGAGATTTTTTTGCCAAGGATTTTTGGAGATATTCCACTAGTATTTTGAATGCTTTCATGTTCCAAATGGACAAACCAATGTCCTGTAGGTCCAGTAACAACAGGAACCTAGAGTGGCTGAGCTAGAACCAGATTCATACTGTGCACTTTCCTGCCTATGCAGTCTACAGATTACTCTTGATCCATTGCAGACATGCAATGACCACATTTATGGAACTTCTGTAATCTACTTATGAGCATTTGGGAGAACACACTGGCCTTCATGGAGAGCACTTGTCACCCTCCCTAACCCGAGATCAGAGGATCCAATCACAGGGTGGCCTCCTCCAGAGGAAGGCCTGTGGCTCACACTTCAGTGTCAGGACTCACCCACGGGAGAACCAGGTTTTTTGCTCTGAAAAAGTGGAGAACACAAGTCCCACTTCCTAAGCTTTCCTGAGACCTGTAGGACCCATCTTTTCCCCGTTGAATCAACTGGCAGAAATATAGAATCCATGTAGTCCATGGAGCAGTTTCAGGGGAGCCAGAAGGCCTAGAATTTCTATGAAAAGCAAGGCAGGAGAGTATGGAGGCTCAAAAGGAACCTAAAAGTCCTGTGTGCTGATGATGCCACGGCACAGGAAACCTATCTTCCCCATAGCCTTGGTACTCCTCCATAAGGAAACAAGAAAGATTTGCCAGGGTGGGCACTGTGGTGTAGTGGGCTAAACCTCCGCCTGTGGTGCTGGAATCCTTTATGGGTACCTGTTCAAGCACCAGCTGCTAAACTTCCAATCCAGGTCATTGCTATGGCCTGAGAAAGCAGTAGAAGATGGTCCAAGTGCTTGAGCCCCTGCACCCACGTGGGAGACCTGGAGAAGGCTCCTGGTTCCTTGCTTTGGATTGGTTCAGCTCCAGTTGTTGTTGCCATCTGGGGAATGAACCAATGGATGGAAGATCTTTCTGTCTCTCTGTAACTCTACCTCTCAAATAAATAAATAAAACAAAAATAAATAAAAGAAAGATTTGCCTATTTCCTGGGTATTCAATCCCATTGTCAGGACCTCATACATGATGCATAAGAACTCATCTGAAATCCTGTGCTAACCCAGTGGAATTCTGATGTTTAATTCTTATCTTAGCAAACTCGTATTTGAAAGAAAAAATAAAGCAGACTCAAGTAAAGAAAATCAAAGACAAAAAAGGATATTACAATGGACATCAGAGAAATACAATGGATCATTAGGGACTATTAACAGCAACTACAAAGCAACAAGTTGGAAGAGATGGTTAATTTTTGGATACATATAACCTATCAAAACTGAACCAGGAAGAGACAGAAAACCTGAATATACTAGTAAGAAGTTAACAATATTGGATCAGGAATAAAATGTCTCAAATCAAAGGTCAGTCCCAGCCGGCGCCGTGGCTCACTAGGCTAATCCTCCGCCTTGCGGCGCTGGCACACCGGGTTCAAGTCCCGGTTGGGGCTCTTGATTCTGTCCCGGTTGCCCCTCTTCCAGGCCAGCTCTCTGCTGTGGCCAGGGAGTGCAGTAGAGGATGGCCCAGGTCCTTGGGCCCTGCACCCCATGGGAGACCAGGATAAGTACCTGGCTCCTGCCATCGGATCGGCGCGGTGCGCTGGCCACAGCGCGCTGGCCGAGGCGGCCATTGGAGGGTGAACCAACGGCAAAGGAAGACCTTTCTCTCTGTCTCTCTCTCACTGTCCATTCTGCCTGTCAAAAACAAAGTCAGTCCCAAATGACTTCCCTACTAAATTCTACTATTAAAAAAATGGAAAATCAATCTTTCTGAGACTCTTCTAAAAATGTGAAAGAGAGGGAAACCTTCCTATCTAAACCTACGAGGCCAGAAATGCCTAGATTCTAAGACCAGAGTAAACCAGCAGGTGGAAGATCTCTATCTAAAGCTCTGTCTTTCAGATAAAAGCAAAGAAAAGAAAAAATAAAACTATAAGCTGGTATGCCTGATGAACATAGAAACAAAAATTCTCATGATAATACAGGGAAACTGAATCCAACCACACATCAAAAACTCAGACATCATAATCAAGTCACATGTAACCTAGGAATGCAAGAAGTGGGTTAACATATGGAAATCAATAAACAACACACATCAAAAGTATGGAAAATAAACATTATAATTATCAGAACAGATGTAGGGAAAAAATTCAATAAAACTCTACATTCATTTATGAGCAAAACTTTGAGCAAAGTATTTGTAGAAGGAACATACCTTAATAAAATGAAGCTCACATATGATAAACCCATAATCAACACCCTATTGAATGGCAAAAAGCTGAAAGCATTTCCTCTAAGATCTGGAATCAGACAAGTATTCCCACTCTCTCCCCTGTCATTCAATATTGCAATGTAAGGTTTCACCAAAGCAAGTAGGGCAAAGAAGAAAATAAAAAGCATAGGAGAGAAGAAACTCTGATTATTTCTATAACCAGATGACCATATCTTATGTATAGTGAAACCACCTAATGATCCCACCAAGAGACTGCTAGAACTGGTAAATGAATTTAGTAAAGGTGCAGGATACATAATTAACACTAAATATCAGAAATACTTTTATATACCAACAGTAAACTCAGAGAAAGTTG